CTCTTTCTCATCGCTGTGTCTATCTCTCTCTCCCTCTCTCTTCCTCACTGAAATCAATTAAAAAAATATTTAAATATCTGAAAAATAAAAAACAGGTTCCAAGAGGTTTACCTAAATTGGTGTGTATGCTGACACCAAACTGGGGTAACTGAGTGCTATTTTCCTGGTTGCATCTGTCTCTGGAGGAACAGATGATCAAAAAACCTACCCCCAATGACAGGCAGACTCAGATCAGACCTGAAATCCAGCCCATATAACCTACAAGTAGATGGAACTTTAATGCCAGCCTTGGTCTTTCTCTAATCTCAATTTGTCTCAATATTGAGATTTGTACAGGGGGATGGGATGTGGAAACAGGGAAGAAGATGATGGATTTGGAGTGGAGAAAGGGGACCAGTTTGAAACAACTGTGAGAAAGAAAGGCGATGAAATGCATCTGAGATGAAGGAAAATGGATGAAGCTTAAGGAAAGGAGTAGGAGAAACCTTCTTGGCTAAAGAGAGCAGAGTAACACTGAAATAGAATTAAAGTGGTATATTCAAAAAAAGTAAATTATAGAATATTCTAGGTATCCAGAATAGGTGAGAAAATTTTATGAACTCATGTATGAAGAACCTATATTCTAGCCCTAATTGGTTTGGCTCAGTAGATAGAGCATCAACCTGTGGACTGAAAGGTCCCAGGTTCGATTCTGGTCAAGGGCATGTCCCTTGTTTGCGGGCACATCCCCAGTAGGGGGTGTGCAGGAGGCAGCTGATCAATGTGTCTAACTCTCAATCCCTCTTCCTTCCTCTCTGTAAAAAATCAATAAAATATATATTTTTAAAAAAGAACCCATATTCTATATCTAACCTTTTTACAACTTCTACTCGTATCAAAACTTTGCCATTTCTGTGTAGGAAATCTCTTAAGATTTTAATTCTAAGCTTTTCATTGTACATTTCTAAAAGAAACTCTTAATTTACATACTTCTGCATTAAAATTTTGTTCTTGTTTTTTTAATATATTTTATTGATTTTTTTACAAAGAGGAAGGGAGAGGGAGAGAGAGTTAGAAACATCAATGAGAGAGAAACATCCATCAGCTGCCTCCTGCACACGCCCTACTGGGGATGTGCCCGCAGCCAAGGTACATGTCCTTTACCGGAATGGAACCTGGGACCGTTCAGTCTGCAGGCCAGTGCTCTATCCACTGAGCCAAACCCGTTAGGGCATGTTCTTGTTTTAATTTATTTGTTTTACAGAGTGAAAGGATGGGGCAAGATGAGAGAGAGAGAGAGAGATTGGAAATGAGAAAGAGACATTGATTTGTGGTTCCATTCAGTCGTGCATTCATTGGTTGCTCTTTCTATGTCCTCTGATCTTGGATTTAACTTGAAACCTCAGCATATTGGGACTAACGGAAAAAGCAGGCCAAGGCAATGTGCATACCTCTAATGTCATTGATTACATCAATGTAACATCATTATCAATCAGTTTTTTTAATCCTCAAATATCCAACTAAATTTTGATCAAATATTTTTCAAAATGAAATGAAATTAGATTTATGCATGCTAGTAATAACTGATGTGTATATCTTGTAAGTCTATTTTAATTCCTATAACCTACTTCCATGTGTTTTTACTTTCTGTTTATATTTGTGTTGAAGCAACAAGATCGAATTTTCAGTAGAGCATATTACAGTCAGGATTTTACTGATTACTTACTCCGTGTATTATTAAAGGTTTACCAGAGAAACAGAACCAATAGTATGTAAGACATTTTTTTAAAAAGAGGTGACTCACAAGGTTATGGAGCCTGAGATGTCCCATGGTCTGCAGTCTGCAAGCAGGAGACCCAGGAGAGACAGTGGTGGTGTTGAAAGCCTGAGAGTCTGAGAACAGATGGGTCTGAAGGACTGAGAACCCAGAGCATCCAGGACAGGGGGTAGATGTGCTAGCTTATTGAGTCCAGCAGATTGAAGTCAGCCTTCCCCAGTTTTTGTTCTCTTCAGGCCCTCAGTGGATTGGATAATGTCCACTGATAATGGGAGGACCATCTGCTTTGCTCATCCAATTCAAATACAGATCTCCTCATAGTCACACCCAGAACTAGTGTTTCACCTGCTACCGGCTATGCAGTGGTCCAACCAAGGTGACAGGTTAAATTGACCAGATTATTCTTCAGACCTTTCTCTATCACTTATATTTCCTGTAACTAGATAGTTTGGAATGATGATGAGATTTAGGTTCATTTATCTGGCAAAACTTCTTCACAAATAATGGTATACTCCCTCTAACAGTTCTATGATATCTTTTTGTTATTATTATTTTTTTTTAGAGAAAGAGGGAAAAGAAAATGCCAGAGAAACATCAGTGTGAGAGAGATACCTTGATTAGTTGCCTCTCTATATGACCCAACTGCAGATGGAACCCGTGACCTTGTGGTACGTGGGACAACACTGCAACCAACTGAGCAAAACTGGCCACTCTTTTATAAAAAATATTCTTTTTTCCATTTAGTAATAGGTTTTTAGATTGAGAGGAATGGGGGGGGGGGAGGTTTGAGAGAGAGAACTATTTGTGCCACTTGTTTTTGCATTCATTGCTTGATTATTACATCGTCCCTGGCCACGAGCTGAACTTGAAACCCTGACACATCTGTACCATGCTCCAACCAACTGAGCTACCTGGCCAAGATCACTGTTTTTCCCAAAAACTATTTTGCTTACTTTAATAAAGCTGGTACAATCAATATCCATTTAAAACCCATATCCCAGGACACAAAATACAAATAAAATAAAAAAGAGCAGTGTTCTGTTGCACAAACTTTTGCATGAATAAATTTATGAAATGCTAATGAAAATTAAAACTCTTCTGGGATCTTCTGACAAGATTTTTCTTTACTCTTAAAATGCTTTCTCTGCCCTAACTGGTTTGGCTCAGTGGATAGAGCATCGGCCTGCGGACTGAAAGGTCCCAGGTTCGATTCCGGTCAAGGGCATGTACCTTGGTTGCGGGCACATCCCCAGTAGGGGGTGTGCAGGAGGCAGCTGATCGATGTTTCTCTCTCATTCAATGTTTTTAACTCTCTATTCCTCTCCCTTCCTCTCTGTAAAAAATCAGTAAGATATATTTTTTTAAAAAAATGCTTTCTCTGCCCTGGCCAGTTTGGCTCAGTGCATAGAGCGTCAGCCTGCGAACCGAAAGGTCCCAGTTCGATTCCAGTCAAAGGTACATGCCCAGGTTGTGGGCTCGATGCCCAGGTTGTGGGCTCGATCCCCGGTGGGGAACTTGCAGGAGGCAGCCAATCCATGATTCTCTCTCATCATGGATTTTTCTATCTCTCTCTCCCTCTTCCTTCCTCTCTGAAATCAATGAAAATATAAAAATATTTTTAAAAATCTTTTCTTTAAAAAAAAAAGAATGCTTTCTCTTCAGTGAAGCTGTCTTTGGTGTTAGTCTTTACTCTCACCTTATCTGTCATCTTGACTCCAACCTGATATTCCTCTTCTTTTGATCCAGACCTTCAGATTTTAAAAGTAGCTTCAAGCTGATGAAAGGTCATAATTCCACAGTTGAGTTCACTGAAAAACTCCACCTCCCACTAAAAGTCATAGTCCAGGAGTGAAGCAATCACATTCTAGAACTATTGTGACAATTAGAAGTATTATGAACACTTGCATTGGTCCACCTAATTTATCACAAGCCTCAAAATGCACAGTCCTGAAAAGGGTGGCCTCCCTGTGCACACATTTAATATTTCAAAAGGAGAGGGCGATATGAAGGAGGCTGAGGCTTGATCACCAACACTCAGCACAATGAAAACCAACAATAATGAATAATGGGCACTAGAATTCAAATTACCACAGGTTTTAAAGAGATGGGGGCGTTGTGTGATCACTTTTCAATTCCATTGTGAAGGCCACATTACAAAAGAACTATTTTTAACAATAAGAAAGGATTGAGGGGAGAGAAGAAAAAGAATATCTAAACCATTGAATGACCCGCTGTTGTTCCTGATAAACTTCACTCACATCTTCCTCCTCCATTCCCAGTTCTCTTGGAGTGTGATTATCAGCATTTCTCTGACCCTCCAAGAGAAACCTGAGCCAGTTCATTGGAACTCCCCGTCTTAGACAGCATGATTCTTCGGGTTTCTTGAGATGTGTTGTCATTTTCACTTTGAAGTGAAACTCACTGCTGCCCTGTTCAATGACTTTGTATTCTCCTTCCTTCTTATTCCCCAAATCTTCAGTTGATGGTTTTACCTCCTGGTCAGACATGGTGATGGTGCTTTACCTGAGGTCTCCACACAGAAGCAGCCTTAGGTAGGCAGGACCTTGCTCCTAGATTTACAAATCCTTCTGTCTTCCCCATAGCACATGATTCCTTTTTTAAAAAATAAATCATTATTGTTGAAAGTATTACATATGTCACCTTTTTTTCCCCATTGCCCTTTCCACCCTCCTCCCCTTCAAGCCTTCGACACTCACTGTCAGTGTCTATGGGTTATGTATATATACATATGAGTTCACTGGTTGATCTCTTTCCCCCGTCTCCTGCCTTCTCAGATTGAGGCCTATGATCAATTTGCCTAGACTGATTAATTCCTTTTAAGTTGCAAAATAGACTTTACTTCTAACTCCTCCTTAAGTATTGTCATGATAAATGATTTGGACTACCTGACCTACTGTTCATACAGGGAGGAAAGGATTAATGCTGATTGAACTTTTAAATGGTGATATCTTTTTATCTACAGAAATCACTTATGACTTGGATGGTGCTGGGTTTTTGACCAGAGTCCACAGCTGATTTTCACTTGGCAATGTGACATTAAACACAGAAGGAGTAGGTGACAGAAGACTGGACGTCAGTTGCCCGCTGGAACTCTGCTTGGAAGATCTTAGTGGCTTCCACAGACAGGTAGACCTGAGCCAACCTCAGCTTCTCACATTTCCTCCCTCTTGGACAATCACACTGACTGAAGAGAGTCTCTTCTGATAAACACCTTCACGGCACCATGGCCTTTGCAGCTTCCCTGGCCAAGCTCCAAGCAGAGGCCAGCTGCCCCATCTGCCTGGATTACCTGACAGACCCAGTGACCACTGAGTGTGGGCACAACTTCTGTCCCTCCTGCATCCACCAGCGCTGGGAAGGTCTACAGGGCACCATTCCCTGTCCTGTCTGCCTCCACCACTGCCCTGACAGGAGCTTGATGAAGAACATGCAACTATGTCACATGAGTGAGACTGTTCAGCAGATTCCCGGCATGAGGGGAAAGAGGAAAAGGCAAGAGGAACCCCTGTGTAAGAAGCACCATGAGGTTCTGACCCTGTTCTGTGAGAAGGACCTGGAGCTGCTGTGTGCCCAGTGCAGGGTGTCATCCGACCACCAGGATCAGCCCCTGGTCCCCATTGAGGAAGCAGCAGCTAGTCACAGGGGGATGCTCAAAAGGAACATTGAGGCCAAGATTAATCATCTTGAAGTTGTAGAAATGTTATATAAAAACCAAGTTGAAAATACTTGGGAAGTGAAGAGAAAGATGGAAAAATGGAGGGAGGAGTTGGACAATGAATGTAAAGAAATTAAGTGTTTCTTAGCAATCGAGCAAAATGAAATTGATAACAATCTACTTATAGAAGAGAAGGATATTGAAGAAAAACTAATTGAAAATGGAAGGCAAATTTCAAACCATAGGTTCAGGGTAAGCAGTCTGTTAAGTAAAATAAAAGAGAAGTGTTTGCAGACAGATGAGGATTTACTCACAGGCATTGAAAGCATTCACAACAGGTATGGAAACCGAGAGACCCCTGCAGTGTTTTCATGTGATTTAAAGAAGGGGACTTACAATCTCCCCCCACACTACTTGGGCCTGCATAAAATGATCCGAATGTTTCAGGCAGATTTGACACTGGATCCTGAAACTGCCCATCCAAACTTCATTATGTCAAGAGATAAAAAAAGTGTGACATATAGGACACCAAATGGTTTTCCTAATATCCAGGATCTTACTTCTTACCCAGCTGTCCTGAGTTCTGAGGGATTTGATGCTGGCAGGCATTTTTGGGCGGTAAAAATAACAGGCACAGGTGAATGTTTTTTAGGTGTGTGTAAGGAATCTTTCCCCAGAAATACTGACATACCGCCATCAGCAAGAAATGGATGCTGGCAATTTTCGCTCTGGATTCCTACAAGTGGCCCTTCCCCCATAGGACAACCGAAGATTGGCATTTTCCTGGACTATGAGTTGGGAGAGGTTTCATTTTATAATTTGAATAACGGGTCATGCTTGCATGGAATCACTGATACATTTACAGAAAAACTTATGCCTTATTTTTCCATTGCATCTTCTTCAGCATCCCTTATAATCAATGTCATCTGAGGCAAATGATGACAATTTGGATGGATTTTTGTATGTGCTTTTTTCCTTCCCTTGTTATCGAAAAAAAAAAAAAATACTTATAATAAAGACCCTGATTCTGGTTTTGATGTTTGAATGTTGAAAACTTCAAGGACTCACCCTTCTCTCCTCCCTGACCTTACACCTGGGAAAGCTAATGAGAAAGTCCAGGTGCTCCATCCTTGGGGGCAGGGGGAAAGTTCCAATCAAGCAAGTTTCCATCATGTCAGCAGGCTCCCACCGATAGCACCCAGTAACCAACATGAAAACACCACAAGCTAGCTAGTCCCTTTTCCCTGTGCTCTTAGTCATTTTGGTTCCTATTCTAAGATCCACTGACGCTTCCCACAAAACCTTATCATGTGAGTAATCAACTTTCATACTCTTCAGGTATGTGGTGAGTCATCAGTGTGAACATTTGAAACCAATTTTGGATGGCTCCACCCTGACTATGTAAGCTGGTCACCACCATGGGCATTGTGAGCAGGATTTTCCAGATATGTCCCCCCAACACCACCACCACCAGGGCTTCCTCCTCTGGCTTTGTGTGGTAACACCTCTGGTTCCCTAGGCAAGGCTGTCCTTGCAGTTTGTGCTGCATTTGCTGAGTTCTATGAGGCTGTGTTGTGTAGATTTGACTGACCTAAGTCAGAAATTCCATAAGAAACACATTTTAAAAAAGAAACACATTCTAGCCTGGTCAGTATAACCCAGGAGTCCCAGTTAGATTCCTATCAGAGCACATGCCCTGGTTGCTGGCTCTATTCCCAGTAGGCCATGTGTGGGAGGCAGGCAATGGAGGATTGCCTCTCATTTCTGTTTTCATCTCTTTACCTCTTCCTTTCTGAAGTCAATAAAATATATATATTTTAAAAGAGAAACTCATTTTATTTGCTTGTTATTATTTTTCATATAATTTTTTGGAATCCTAATTGCCTTGCTGTTGTCTCATGTTTTATAAAATGTTCATGTATAGGGCTGAGCAAAGCAGGTTGACAGTAGTGATACAAATATGTACAGTAATAAATAACAAGTAATACAAGAATAAACTTTTGTGTATTATCAACTGTAAACACACTTTGTTTAAAATCCTCACTTGATGCCCAGCTGGGTGTAGCTCAGCGGTTGAGCGTCGACCCAGGAACCAAGAGGTCGCCGGTTCGATTCCTGGTCAGGGCATATGCCCAGGTTGTGGGCTTGATCCCCAGTGGGGCATGCAGGAGGCAGCCAATCAATGATTCTCTCTCATCATTGATGTTTCTATCTCTCTTTCCCTCTCCCTTCCTCTCTGACATCAATAAAAATACATTTTTTTTAAAAAAAAAAGTCCTCACTTGAGACCTAGCCTGTTTGGTTCAGTGGATAGAGCATTGGCCTGCAGACTGAAAGGTCCTGGGTTCAATTCCAGTCAAGGGTACATGCCTGGAGTTGCAGGCTCGATCCCCAGTAGGGAGTGTGCAGGAGGCAGCAGATCAATGGTTTTCATTATTGATGTTTCTATCTCACTCTCCCTTCCTCTCTAAAACCAATAAAAATTATATTTAAAAATATTTATAAAGTAAATTAAATCCTCAACTGATATGTTTATTGATATAGAGACACAGAAAGGAAGAGAGAGAGAAACATCTATGTGAGAGAGAAGCATCCATCAGTTGTTTCCTTTATGTGCCCTGAAGGGGGGCTAAACCTAAAACTTTGCCCTGAGTGGGAATGGAATCTGCAGCCGTTTTGGTGGAGGAGACCACATTCCAACAAACTGAGCCACCTGGCCAAGCTGTAAACATACCTTTGACAATCCCAGTATGGCCTCCAAAGGTAACATACTCTTTTTTTTTTTTTTTTTTTTTTACATTATGTGAAATTTGCAACCTTTTAGAACACACTTCTGTTTATATGCCTGTATGTGTATTGTTAATAATGTTTGGAAATAAAGTTTTAGTTTGCATATCTCTGACTATTTGTCTCCATAACTTGAAAAGATGCTCAGCAGAGAGAAGCATTGATCAGACCATCAAACCTCAGAGGGAAGGTAGGGGAGGGGAGGGGTAAGGGGGGAGATCAACCAAAGGACGTGTATGCATGCATATAAGCCTAACCAATGGACACAGACACCAGGGGGGTGCGGGCATGAGTGGGGGGGTGTCGGGGGACAATGGGGGATATAAGGACACATATGTAATACCTTAATTAATAAAGAAAAAAGAAGAAAGAAAAAAAGATGCTCAGCAAATCTTTCCTTGAGGTACAAGGGAACCCTGCACTGACCAGAGTGGCCCTGCTATGCTGTGCTGATCTCAGGTGCTTACTCTTGTAAAGTGCAATGTAGGCCAGCAGGCGCTGCTCCATTACCCACCAGGGATCTAACTCCCTCAGTCATGTGTTGTCACAGCACTGGGTCAGTACAGCTAGGGAAAGAGGGAGCATTGAAGGGCCACCCTGAGCACTGAAGGCCAACACCAGGAAGAGACACACACTCTTCTCTTTTTCCATTTTCTCAAAGTCATTGCAAGGCCCTACTTCTCTGCAAGGGGTGAAGAAGCATGCATGTACTGTGAGGTGGAAAGCTACTGGTTGCCATGATTCCCGAATCCAATTAGACATCAGTGAAATGTACATTACTGATGAGTGCGAGAATGGAAAGTCATTAAAACTTGTAAATAGGCCCTGCCGGCATGGCTCAGTGGCTGAGGGTGGATCTATGAACCAGAAGGTCACGTTCAAGTCCTGGTGCGGGCTCCATCCCCAGTAGGGGACCTGCAGGAAGCAGCAGATCCATGATTCTCCCATCATTGATGTTTCTGTCTCTCTCTTCCTCTCTGAAATCAGTAAGAATATATTAAAAAGAAAAAAAAAAAACGACAAAAACTTGTAAATAGCTTAACGTAGATATTTATAATAGTTTGAGTTAATTCTACAGCAGTTATTGGGTAATTTCCCCCAATAAATAAGACATTTCATTTAAGTAAAATAAGCCTTAAAACATTCGTTATTTTTTTTTAAAAAAAAAATATTTTTATTGTTTTGAGAGAGAGGAAGGGAGAAAGAGAGCGATAGAAACATCAATGATGAGAGAGAATCATCGATCAGCTGCCCCCTGCACATCCCCACTGGGATTCGACCCTGCAACCCAGGCATGTGCCCTTACCCGGAATGGAACCCGGGACCCCTCAGTCCACAGGCCGACGCTCTATCCATTGAGCCAAACCAGCCAGGGCAAAACATTCGTTATTTGGTTGCAATGTAAAACTCTATTATTTTGAAATTTTGGTGATTAATTAGAAAATGAGACATTGAGACTAATGTCTAAGTACAACCAGATGAATGAGGCTCCTGGGAACCGGTGGAGAGGTCACGCTGCCTAGGGCTTTGGTCCAGAAATCGCGGTGGGGGCCAGGCTAGAGAATGTGAGCGCACAAAAGTGGGGGGCGGCTGGTCCCGAATACGCTGGGCGGAGGCTGGGCGGGGAAGCCACCCTCAACCCCCCCCTTCCCCCACACACACACCCCCACCCCCCACCCCCCTGGCCCTCGCGGCATGAGGCGGTGCTTCCTGCGCGGGGCTGGCCGGGTGCGCGGGGTTGTAAGAGAAGGCACCAGGGCGGGATGGGGTCCACGACACGCCGGCTTATTTTCCAGGGTCCCCGCCCGGGTGTACTGCTGGGCGGTGGCTGCGCGCGTGCCTGTTCCCAGGCGGGTGCCCAGCCCACGTGCTGGCGCATCTGCTCCGAGAACTGGGAGCTTCCCCTGCGCGCGCCTGGCCTGACCGCCCTGGCTCCTTGCGCGCCTGGGCGCCCGGCCGCTGGGCTCCGCTCATCCCGCTGGGGCGCATGTGGCGAATTTCCCCTCCTTGGGGGTTCCTTGTCTTGGCTCTGAAAGGCTGTGGACCGACTTGGAGCGGCTGCAACAATCAGACCTGTGGCCATCATCACCAGGAAACCTTGGAGAAAAACAATGGGCTGTTTTGAATTTAGGCAGGCATGGTAGGAATGAAAGGATTTTTTAGTCTCCTTTCTTAGACAGATCCAAACCAGATTACTAAAAAAAAAAAACCCAAAAACAAACAAACAAAAACACCCCAGTGTCCTATTTTACAGTGTACGGAGTGATATCGTAATTGCAAAAAAGTCTTTTCTTAAGTATATTACAATATTTTCAGGGGAAAGATATTTGTGCTTAGAATTAACTGAGTTACCCTATGGGCACAAATAAAATTAGTGACCTTGGAAAACGCAAGGTTGAGATTTACATTAAAGCACTAATTTGGATTAATAAATTAATATAAATATTACTGTGATCTTATCACTGAATGAGGTCCATCAGGTCCATCGTATGAGAGCTGAGATTCTTCAGTAAATAGCGACCATAGTTAAATTATCTTGACTAAATAAAGACTGAACAATTTCTAATAATACTGAAAATTCCTCCTTTTCTACCTGGAAGTAGATTTAAGACTCATATATTTAAAGACAATTTGATTGTTTGTATATTTCTAAGGGTGGGATGCATGAACTGACAATGTATGGAAATAAAATGAATATCTAAGTAAATTGAGAGACTTAGAAAAATGCATGCAGTAAATGCTTCTTGGCTGATGCTAAGCTACCCCAGGGTTCTTGGATCTGTGTAGCTTTTAGCTTTAGAATGAGTACAATCCCAGAAACCTGTTTCACCAACAATCACATAGCTAGGTCACTTTCAATCTGAGCAAGTTGCCTGCTTTGGTATTTTGTGGGTATGAATTCCACCATTCAGTAAAAAGCTAAAAATGATCTGCCATGTATAGGCCCAGACACTTCAATGACTTCAAAAAGGCAACGGCTTTTTAGTTGAGGTTGTTTGCAAGCAGTGAAACAGACTTTGGCTAACTTAAGGAAGGCAGGCATTTCTCTGAAATAGGGCAGATGAACACAGGCCTCTGAAAGGACCCAACAAGGGCAGCTCAAGTCCTGTCAGGGTCTGCCCTGGAATGAATCTGCCTTAGCC